TGCTTATATATACTATCCCATAGCGCTTCAAGCCCTCTCTGGGCAGTTTACGAGTTAATTACCCCGGCTACACGTTGCCCCCCCCCCCGCAAGCTCGGTACTCATTTTACCATCCTTAGAAGGATAGAAGGCTGAGTCAACCTTGAGCCGGCTACCTGGAATTGAACCCCAGGTCATCACAGTTTTGGCTGCAGTACAGCAGTTTAACCACTGCGCCACAAGGTTCCTAAGTTTAGTGAACACAGTGACGCTTATTCTTGGGGAACAATGTGGCATGTACAGTATTATAATAATAAGCCCACCCTCCTTTGCTCTTTGTTTCAATTTCTCCCAGCATATGCCTGATGTAATGAGCTATGAGGCCATCTTGTTAAAATACATGACTCCATTACATAATGAATGTGGCAGAGTTGCTGGAAGAGTTCCTCTCTAAATGGCTGGCAGCACTGGCAAAACAGAGGCGGACTCACTGTATTTCACCCATGCCATGCTCTGCAAGGGCACCAGATCTCCCGTGTTTCATATCAATAGTCGGAAACAATGAATGAATTTCCTCTTCCTGCCTATGCTTGCTTTAGATTGCCAAGGGGATAATACGTAGTCTGTGCCAAAGCACCCAGTCCCATTTGGCTTTTTTCCAAATGGCCCTAAAATTTCTGTGGGAACTTTCCTAAGCCATGCTTGTTATTTTTCAGGCTAAACTCATGCATACAGCCGCACTGCCTGGAAAGTTTCCTTAATGCCCTTAGAGTGCACTGTAGAACTGTGTCACTTGTTTACAAAATTTCTAGACGCACCAATCCTGTGATACAAGATTATCACACACAACTACATTAAGGTGGGATTCATATATTTCATGATTCACTGTTAGCACATGGGAAGTGATGCTTGATCCCAGAGCTTTTGAAAGCTGAAGTGGGTATGCAATGCTTACTTGTTTTCAGTGCTTTGCCCTCCAGTGTGTATATCTATGACCCAGGCTTCTGTGCAATATTTGAAATAAGTGGTGCTCTCAAACTCAGTTAGTGTTGGTGATTCTTGGGCATTTTGTTGGAAAAATTAATTTTGGGACCAGGTGCCAGAATCTCCCAGCCAGAAAGAATAACAGCAACAATGCCTAAAGGCGAGGAAACATTGTCTCCGTGCTGCAGCTCGTTAAAGTACGAGCGCCCCTTTCCAAGGAGCCGGGACAGAGCCGCGGGCCCTGGAAGTGTGGGAGAGTCAGGAAGCACGAGACCCCGAAAGAGGGCACGGGATGGGCAATGCCAGGGGCAGCGGAGCCCGCCGGGAGCGAGAGCGGAACGGGGCGCGCGGAAGCTGAAGGAAATCACCCGGCGAGCTCCAGGGAGCTGCCCCGAGCTGACTCCGAAAGGGCGGGAAGCCGCAGGCGCCGCTCACACAGATGAGGGAAAGGCGTGAACCTGGGCCGGGCGACGCCACCACCGCCTGCAAAGGCGCCCCCCAGGGTGGGGGGGAGGAGGGGAAGAAGGAGAGGCCTTCGAGCGGCGAGACCTGGCAGGGGGGCTCCGAGGCACCGCACAAGTGCGTCCCACCCGCCGGGCTGGACTGCGGCGAGAAACCTGCGCCGGCGGCACTGGGCCTCAGGCGACCCTCCCCGACGCCCTTACCCAGGAGTTAAGTCCCCTTCGACTCAGGGGAGGTTTTACTTCTAAGCAGGCGCGTGGAGGGCGGGGGGCGAGGCTGCGGATGCGACGCCCGCACTTTGACACGCGCGAGTGGCTGCGCTCCGCAGGGCGCCTCCCACGCCCGGGAAGGGAAGCCCCTCTCCTGCCCCGACCCGACTTCCTGGCACCTCCACCCGGCTCACCTCCTGGAAGAGCTCCAGGCTATAGGTATTGTCATCGTCCGCGAAGAAGAGCACGCCGGGCTGCGGGGCCTTGGCGTGCTGGTACCGCTGGCGGATCCAGGCCAAGCCCGCGTTGCGCTGCTCCGTGGCCCGGGGCTGCCCGGGCCGCTTGTACCGGCGGGGCGTCAGCACGTGCAAGTGGGTGCAAGGCGGGCCGCCCCCTCGGTTGAGTCCCGCGGCGAAGCGGCTCACCAGCTCGGTGACCACGGCCGAGTCCTCCACCAGGATCCAGTGCAGGCGCGCCACCTGCCGGAGCGTGTTGGCCAGGCGCGTCAGCTCCGCTTTCTGCACCGGCCGGCTGTAGGTCGGCGTGATGGCGTAGATGATGGGCAGCTCCTCTTGCTCCGGCGGCTGCCCCTCCGCCGCTCGCCACTGGGACGCCCCCTCGTGCCGCCGCTGCTGCTGCTGCTGCTGGGGCCGCCGGGCGAGGAGTGAGGAGGGACGGGGCGCCCGGTTCCGGCTCTCCATGTCCAGCATGAGGATCACCAGCAGTACCCACGGCAGCAGCACCAAGAAGCGGCTCAGGAGGAGTGACTTCATGCCGGCGAGGGGAAGCTGCAAGGCTGGTGGCGGCTCCGCCAATGACAACGCGGGAAGCCGGAGTGGCTGCCGCTGCCACCCCTGCTGCCGGCGCCGCCGCCTCCTCCGCCGCGGAGATTCAGACGGTGCTTCCCTCCTCGCCATGGAGCGGGCGGCAGGGCGCACGAGGAAGGGACGCCCGACTTCCTGGCGTTGGAAAGCTCGGCGGAGCGCAGCCGGACGGGCACCGGCCGAGGCGGGGAAGGGATCGCCCGCTTTGGGCCCCACACCTTGTTGGAAGAGCGCGGGCAGGCGGGCGGAGGAGAGGGGGCGGCGCACGAGGAAGGGACGCCCGACTTCCTGGCGTTGGAAAGCTCGGCGGAGCGCAGCCGGACGGGCACCGGCCGAGGCGGGGAAGGGATCGCCCGCTTTGGGCCCCACACCACACCTTGAGAGCGCGGGCAGGCGGGCGGAGGAGAGGGGGCGGGAAACCCGCGCCGCTGCCTGGTCTGGCGAAGGCCCCGCGCTCGGAGTACATGCAAGTAAGGTAATGCCAACAGACATAATGAAACAAAACAGAACCTCCCTATCTCCTTCGGAATTCTTTCATGCCATAATTTACTGCACCATACCGCCCTTTCCTGCACATCTAAAGCCATATGCAGGGCTTCGAAATGCCTAAAACTCATATTTATTCAAGAGACTATGTTAACTGTATGTAGATTTAGTACCATCATCAAATGCACTTGATAAGGTAATCGTCCAAAGCGTCTTTTTGGGACTCTTACAAACAAATCTTATTATTTGTTCACTCCTGCAGTCTTTCAGCATCTCTTCTGGCTCCGACCCAGAGGAGCGGGACGACCCGGAGGCAGGCGGGGAGGCTGAGGGAGATTTCCCGAACTCTCTCTTCCCTTCGCGGCTCCCGCGTTGCAGTGGGGGGGGCGGCGGCCCGGGTCCTTCTCCGGGGTCCCGGCGCGCAGGGCTCGGGGCGGGGAGGAAGACCCAGCAAGCCAGGGGGGTGCGAGGCGTCTTGGCGGCCACCGAGCTGCCTTGGCTGGGCGCTTCTGGCGGTGTGTGCGTGTGGGGAGCGAGGAGGAGGAGGAGGAGGAGGGAGCCCCCACAGGGCTGATGCGGCGCAGAAGGGTGGGTGGGTGGATGGGTGGGAGAGCCGAGGGTGTTCTCTCGCCGCGCGCCCGCGCTCCCTCTCCCGCTCCCTCCCTCGCGCTTTCCCTCACAGGAGCTGCAGGGAGAGGGTTCGTGGCGGCGGCGGCGGCTGCTCCCGTTTCTTCGCTCGCTGGTTCTTTCCTCGGCGGGGAAAGAGGGAAGAGGCTTTCTCACGTGCCTGAAACTCCAGAGACCTGGGGAGGGCGCGAAGGGGCTGGGGCTGGAGGGGGCGGGAGCCGGCTTGTGGGAGAGATTAGTCACGCCGCGGAAAAGAAAATGCCCTTATTTCTAATCAACCCGCCAGCCAAACAAGCGAAAGGGATGGCAGAGCCTGGGTGAGGATGGGGTGGGTTGAGAGAGAGAGGGAGAGAGAGAACGACGAGGAGGGACGTGGGCAAGACACCGATAGCGAAACAAAGCCTCGGCAACGGATCGCCCCCCCCCCACAGGGGTTACTTATCCCTGCCTTGCCGGGGATTCAGGGGGACGGAAAGAAAACCCCAAGTGTTTCAATAAAAGACTCCTGGTTCCTCCGTCTTCTTTCTTTCAGCGGCCGGTGAGGTCCGAAGGAGCAGGGGGTGTTTTTTTTTTAAATCTCCCCCTCCCTGAACTCTTTTGTTCAGCATCCGTAGGAAAGCGCGTTTGCTTGAAGCTGCGGGGGGGGGGATACTGTACAGTCGGATTTAGGGTAGCTCTAGAGATTTCCAGTGGTGTGTAGTAGAGTGGCGGACTAGGACGCTGGAGTACAGGATTCGAATTCTGACTTGGCCAAGGAAACTTACGGGGAGGAATGGGTCTGATTTGAGGGCACCGAACACCCACACGCGCACAAAAGCGTCTAGACGGACAATTTCCAGAGCTTCCAGTCAGGAAAGAGAGGGGAAAAAAACGCCCGTGTACAACTTCTTGGCTCCCTCTGCCCCCCTGTTTTATATGGTAAGAGAACAGAGGGCAGAACTAGTGGGAAAATACTGGAAGAGTCAAATAGTATAGCCTGTAGCTCTATCAGCTTCCCTGCTTGAGATGATACGATTGCACAATTAAGGTTTAAAGTAAGGCTCCTTAAAGCAATGCGAATGAATTCCTCCACCAAACTTACTCTTTTGGAAAGTATTTATTTATACAAATATTTATTTAATTAATTAATGTCGTTGGATTTATTTTACTGTATTATATTTTTGTTTGCACTAAAGGGTTCTCAGATGTATGGCAGTGGAGACAGCTGAAATCATATTCCAAAAGTTCCTGAGGTACTGTGAGAAATAAAACAGCTAGAAATTCATCCTGGCACAGTGTATTCCTGCAAGGAATATTCTGAAGACGATATATATAGCTAGGCCTGCTGGATGAAGCCCCCAGTACTGCTACAGCTATAGGCCTGAAGGCAAGAGAAAATGCGGTCCAAAGACACAATGAATTCCGTCTTGGAATTCTGTTCTGCACCTGCCAATCTCTTTACAGGGACCAATTGGGCTCAAAATCCAATCTCCCATAGCTTGGAAAAGTTGCTTTCTTGGTGTAGAGTGCCAAGGATCCCCAAACTGGCAAGACCAGTGGCCATTCTGGGAGGATTAATTTTTAAAAGTTTTAAATATTGTCTTTTAATTGTTGTAAGCTGTGTTGGGTCATTTTAAGGAGAAAGGCAGATTTAAAATTTTTTTAAAACAAATAATAATAAAGGTAACTTGTTCAAAGTCTGCTGAAACGCCAGGTATGGAAGAGCAGTGGTTCCCAACCTTTGGTAACCCAGGTGTTCTTGGACTGCAATTCCCAGAAACCCCGGGCAGCACAGCTGGTGGTGAAGGCTTCTGGGAAGTGCAGTTCAAGAATATATGGGGCTCTGAGGTTAGAGGCTCACTGAGGTAGACTATCTTCCTGTTCAGAGCACAACCAAATGCCTAATGTTATACATCAGATTGCAACTGAAGATGTCATTTTCTAGGAACTAGGTTAAAATTCAAGAGTACTCCAGAGTTAGTTCCATTGAGCACTACAGGACTTAGCAGATGTGCTTAGGATTTTGCTATTACTTGCCAGTTATTGAATTTGCACCACTGCTGCATAAAATAGACTTTAAAAACATAATTAACATGCTGTCCGATTCCATATGTTCACTGAAATTGAATTCTTCTGAGTTCAGTGAGAGTTACCCTATAATACATCACAATCTTATACTGCAGTCCTAAAAGGTAAATCTTGCAGAATTCAATGATGCTTTTGCCCCGCAGTGCAGCAATTCTCTAAATTTTGCCCCCCCAGACTGCCAGACTTCCAATTCCTAGAAGCCCCATCAGACAATAGTCATGAATTCTGAAAATCAAGGTCTAAAACATGGAAGATCAAAGATCAGGAATAAAGTCTTTACCTGAAACAGTAGTACATTCACTTGGGGCTACACCTGAACCACATTTGCACATTTTATGGGAACATGTTCATTGGAGCGGGGGCAGAATAAAAACAATCATCTCATCCTGGTATGGAAATTTATGACCTGAAAAAGTGAAAAGATACAAGAAAATAAAATGCCTTTAGTAATTTCTTCTGCCATTACTAGATCAAGTGCTGCTAGATATGTTCCTCACTTTAGTAAAATAATATTTTGTTAACTAGAGCAGGAATTAATTCAAGCAATTCTTGCTCTAATTAGTAGTATGCAGTATAATATGCTTTGATTTTATAAGGTCAAATCTTATTTACTTCAGGCCACACTTTCTGGGTCAAAGACTGCAATCCTGTGTAGAGGTAGCTGGCTTAGATTGTACTTAATCCTTAAAAACTACAATAAACCAGCACAAGGAGAGGTGCAAATGTGAGACTGCAAGGAGAACAAACCTATCAATTCTAAAGGAAATCAACCCTGAGTGCTCACTGGAAGGACAGATGCTGAAGCTGAGGCTCCAATACTTTGGCCATCTCATGAGAAGAGAAGCCTCCTTGGAAAAGACCTTGATGTTGGGAAAGTGTGAAGGCAAGAGGAAAAGGGGACGACCGAGGACGAGATGGTTAGACAGTGTCATTGAAGCTACCAACATGAATTTGACCCAACTCTGGGAGGCAGTGGAAAGCAGGAGGGCCTGGTGTGCTCTGGTCCATGGGGTCACAAAGAGTTAGACACGACTTAACAACTAAACAACAATGTGAGTGGTGGAGCATTTTCTGACTGCATGATTATTCCAGTGTATTGGGGTGGGTGGGATAAAAATGCTCCATGTCTGTAGAATTGTTCATGAAAATGGATTATATTTCCACCCAGACACCCAGAGACAGAAAACACAAAAGTGGAATCAGAGTAAGATAAAAGCAGAAAATAAAGCATAAGCTTCTTGTATTAGAGGGTGTTTCCTGATTCCCCCTGAATGGAACAAATGTTTTTTCCCAAATGGGAGTAACACGGACAGCCAAAGTATGTCACATCTGCTTTGCCAAAGTAGCATGGGAACATTTTATGTTACATTGGCTGAGACAACAATGTCCCAATGTAATGTACTGACTAGGATAGAATTGTATTTCTATGGCAAACAATAAATAGATTTGTTGAGACTTTTTTTCATCTGAACCATTTGTGTTTCTGTAGAGGAAAGAAACTTGTACAGTATATGGAAAATGACTAAAGTCTGAAAGCATTGTCAACCATATCGCAGTAAGCAATATCATGAAGTGACCTACATATATAGGTCTACATCTGTGTACATTCTGCAGAACAAATAGGCATCTGGGGACTGCCAGACCCCATCTTAGATGAAAGTTAGAGGGCTGGGTCAGGCATATACAATTAGGCCAGCTGTGTGGAAGATTGCAACCAAGGGCATTCAATCATTTCCAAACAGTTCCCATATGGACAAAACTATCCATTTTA